AGAGCACTAAACAAGCCAGTAAGGCACAAGAGGTGGGGGAGGGAAGAAGAGCGGAGAAAGAGCATTAAACAGCGTACACCCCAATATCTGCCATGCATCACTGATATTGGGGTGATGCAGGGCAGATATTGGGGTGTATGCTGGGTCATTTAAAAAAACAAGGGCCTGTATGAGAAACAGAACCAACAGGCAAGCTCTGGGTCATTTTTAAATTTTAAATTAAAAAAAAAAACGAAAAAGATGGGAGAAACAAACGGATTGAGAGTCGAAGTTGTCTAACTGATAGAGAGAAGGCAACGGATCATCAATCAAGTTCCATGAACCTTGGATCGTTTTATATTGGAAGGGGAGGGCAGGGAGGGGGGAGGGAAGAAGGGGAGGGGAGGGGGAGTAGGGGGAAACAGACCATTTCTTGATTCGTGGGTAATCCGTCATAGAGCCAAGGGCTATGCTAGTGTCTTTCTCTGTATTGTACCAATTTTCACGGATGCCCCTAGAGATGCAAACTAAAAGTCGTTGAAAAGACAAAAGTCTACCAGAAAGATTATCATTTTCAGCATTTAAAAGTTCGAGTGCCAAAAAAAAAAAAAAGGAAGTGGTTATCTGCTAGGCTACCCGAGTGGCCCGTGACCACTTGCCCGCCCGGGTAAAAAACAAATAATAATAATAATAATAATAAAAATTATTTTATTTTTATTTTAAAATTGGTAAAGCATTTCGACATGACCATGAGGAAAAAGTTTGTTCAGTTTAATTTTCTGCATAACATAGATTTTTTTCGTTTTTTTTTTTTTTTTCCTTTTCTTTTTTGCTGGGACCTTCCCTGGTCCTTGCGCGGCCAGGCCGCCCGGGAAAATAGGGTGACCCGGGCGGCCCGGCTGGTAGCCTAGGTTATCTGTTTAATCAGGGAGCAAGGGACATAGAGATAGTAAGAGACACGGAGTCAGCCAAGACCAAGGTGCGAGGGGCAAGAGGGGTGTAAACAGGACAAGATGGACGGGATGTAGTAGGACTAAGGTGGAAAGCAACGATTTACTATTGTGACGCGTGAGTTTTGATAGGCGGCCTGGGGAATTGTAGGGGAGGCCCCTCCCTGCGCCCCACCTCCCTGAGGGCCATCCTGCTGCGTGTCTGGGTGCTGCTAGGAAGCCTCCCGGCCAGCAGAGTGGCCCCCCCAGAGAAAGGCCATGGTTTAAACCACCAGTACATGGGCACCTGGGCCGCGGGTCTGACACCTCAAATTCTGGAGACGCGAAACGAAAACGGGGCCGCCGATCGAATTTATCAACGGCGGCCCGTCGGAGGGCGCAGCGTTTGACGTTTCGGCCTTGTTTTCTTGTGGCGACAACTTTCGGACTGCAAGGCTGGGGCCGTGTACTTGTGGTTTAAGGGGGTGGAACCCCCTTTTGCAGCCCCCCCCTTGTTAGCTGACTGGGGCCACAAGGGTTAGACCGTTCTCCTTCTCTGGTCTGATCTCCCCCCCCTTCTTTGGATGTACAAACATGCTTGCCAGTGATAAGCAACCGGACTGTTGCCCCCCAGAATAGATGGGGCCATTGGGGTTTTGTAAAAACAAAAACAAAAAGTAAACAAAAAACAAACAAACCAGTGCTGGGCCGGCAACAGGCCGGTTGAGCTACCCCGGTCCAACCGGAGCCGGACCAGGCCAGGGGGGTTGAACCAGGAAACCGGTTTTGAAAAAAAAGTGCCCAAATATCTTCTTTTTTTTTTTTTTTCGGCAGATTCCGACTGCGCTCTTCAAGAGCTGTCGGAATCCGCAATAAAATTTTCAAGGTGCAATATTTTTCAGGGGGCTTCCAGAGGGGGGCAGGGGGTTATTATTGACATATTCAAGCAACTATGGCTTCCATGGGGAGGGGTCAAGTAAGAAAGTTCACTTATCCAACCCCCCTGTGGCTGGAGCACTTCATGGAGTGTGTCATTTGATATTGATACCCCATGAGCTGAACCAGATATAATAAGAGGAGGTCCTTGCCAGAAGTTATAGCTCTTCCAGAGTATAACTCGACAGCAGAAGAGTTATGGTTCCAGCTTTCAGCTCGTGGAGGCGGAGTGTTTTCTGTTTGTTGGTTCCTAGTACTTTCTACATAAGGTGAGTTATCAGTCCGGAAGTATCTTGCCTGGCAGTCTGTCCAGATACATGTAGTGGAGCAAGGTCCATTCGAGATTAGACCGAGAGAAGAATATAGCTTAGGTCCATTCTTGGGCTTGCACCTCGGACGGCTCTGACATCACGATTCCAGAATCCGAACCCATAACTTTTTCCACAGATGTTTCCACAGATGGCAGGGACGTTGCGGAAGGATATAATCTCAGCATAGTGTTCCCCTCGTGGCTGAGGGTGAAAGAGCATCAGATGTTGCCAATGGTAACTGGTCCGTTGGACCACAAGATGATAAATTGGAGAAGGGGAATGTGTGGCAGTTCTCCGCTGCTGATCTGCAAAGATCAGCGGCGGATATCATCTTAAGAAATGGGGTCCTTGCCGATCTTTGCCGCTGATCTGCGACGATCGGCGGCCAAGATTGGCCACTTTTTGGCCTTGAAAAATCCGCGCCTACAGGAACCGGTTTCGAAATTGCGGGGCAGGGCCCACCCCGACAAGCCCTCGGAAGCACATACGCGCTGACAAAAAAAAAAATTCAGGCCCCAGCGAAAATGCGCTGGGGCCACCGGCCGGTCCAACCGGGAGGACCGCGGATGGGGTAAGGGTCCCCGGTCCATCCGGGGACCAGCCCTGAAACAAACAAAAAAAACAGAAAGAGGATGGTTTTTGATACCATCCTTTGGGACATCCGTTAAATTGGATCGATACAGAGAAGGGTAATTACTAATTAGCATAACCGCTGTGCTTTCTAGGATGAAACGCATAAGTCGAGTTACCATCCAAATTGAAAGAAAGAGAAAAAAAAAAAAAAGAAAAAAAAAAAAAGGATGGTTTGATACCTCAGCCCCGGCATTCCGATAGTCTGTCAGGTCTGCTTTCCCATGGGCTGTCGGGACTTGAATCAACTGGAGTTCCGGACACTTCTGCTTCGCCTCATCGCCACGCATGTGCCTGGACGTCGCACACATCCAGGTACAGAAGAACGAAAAAAAGTTTGCACTCAACATATAGACAAGCAAGCTTGAACTGACCATACATTCAACTCAAAGCACACAGAGAGAGAGAAACAGACATCATACACAGAGAGAGAGAGAGAGAGAGAGAGAGAGAAACAGACATGCAGAGAGAGAGAGAGAGAGAGAGAGAAACAGACATGCACTGAGAGAGAGAGAGAGAGAGAGAGAAACAGACATGCAGAGAGAGAGAGAGAGAGAGAGAGAGAGAGAGAGAGAGAGAGCAGGAGGTTAGCTTCTTCTCTTCTTCCGCCTCACCTGCTTTTCACCAACCCGAACGACTCGCTCCCATCTGCAGGGACGGAAGAAGCCCATGTAATGGACAAGCACTCGGAATAGATTCAACCCAAAGAGGGGATAAGCCACACATGGAAGCTCGTACTCATCATAGACTCAACTCAACATATAGACGCAGCATTGATTCAACTGATAGACAAATGTCATCAAGTTATCAACTAAACATAGATCGAACATAAACTCGACATAACACCCATAATAATGCAAACTCAACATGAACTCAGCACACAGACGAAACATAAACTCAATTCTCAACTCGACAAGTCCGGCCTGCCACGGTCAGCAGTATGGCTTCTCTCTCTCTCTCTCTCTCTCTCTCTCTCTCTCTCTCTCTCTCTCTCTCTCTCTCTCTCTCNTCTCTCTCTCTCTCTCTCTCTCTCTCACACACACACACACACACACACACACACACACACACACACACACACACACACACACACACACACACGTGGATGCGGACGCTCCATCACAATGTGCCGTCTAAATGTTCTTGAGATTACAAAAGATTACATATATCACGCCAACTAAATCTCTCACACACACACACACACACACACACACACACACACACACACACACACACACACACACACGTGGATGTGGGCGCTCCATCACAATGTGCCGTCTAAATGTTCTTGAGATTACAAAAGATTACATACGCCACGCCAACTAAATCTCATTCGGTTATATTAAAGTTCATTAAACCAGGTAGTTACGGTAGACTATATAAACTAGAAAGACGAGATAATAACCTAGTTAGACTGGATAGATATATAGATTGGATAGAGCAAGGAACTACAGATTTGGGGGTTGAGAGTTCAAGTCTTTCCAAGCATTCAGATAGATAGATAGATAGGTGGATGGATCACTATATCAATTGATCGATAGATAGATAGATAAGATCAGATAAGACGAAACAAGAGAAGACAAAATAAGATTAGATGAAAGATTAAGTAAGATTAGATTAAATTAGATACGACAGGATTAGATAGGATAGGATAGGATAGGATAGGATAGGATAGGATAGGATAGGATAGGATAGGATAGGATACAATAGGATTCCATAGTTTTGATAGGATTCAATATGATTAGATACGGTTCGATATGATTCGATTCAATTCCATTCCATTCTATTTGATAGAAGATTCAATTCGATTCGATTCGATTTGATTCAATCTGATCAAATTCTATCTGATTGGTTTTGATCCAACTGGATTAGATTGGATTGGATTAGAATTTAGACTAGATTTGATTAGATTAGATATAGATAAAGATAAAGATAAAGATAAGGTAAGATTAGATAGATTAGATTAAATTAGATTAGATTGAATTAGATAAAAAATCTGGACCAAAAAAAGAGCCTGAATATCCGGCTGTCCTGCCTGGGTTTAAACCACCAGTACCTCGCCGAGCTAAAAAAAAACAACGCGGTCTTGCATCCTGTGATCTCCAACGGCCTCCCGGAGGGCATACTCGAAGTGGCACATCAACGAATGTATCAAACCACATTCAGGGCCAAAGAGGTGCATAATTTGTTTTCTCTTCTTTCACTTTGTAGATTCTGACACAGACGTTACGTTTTTTTTTCCTATTCTTCTAGTTTCTAGATTTGACAGTTTTTTTTTTTTTTTTTTGTCTTCGTCTAGTTTCTAGATTCTGTAAAGAAAGCGACGGGTACGAGACACAGCAGAATGAAGGCATGCTCACACCGGCACTTCGGAGAATGTATCCAGCTGCATTCAGGTCCCCCTAGTGGTGTTGTGTTTGTTTGTTTTTTTCCTTTTTTTTTCCCCCTCCTTCAGCCTCAGCCTGTCCTGCTACCGGTACCCCCAGGCTCGCAAAGCCCGGCATACCGGTCGCCTGAGGGTCGGACTGCATAGCTGGGTGAGGTACTGGTGGTTTAAACATTTGGAGTTTATGGTTCAGGGTTTAGGGTTTAGGGTTTAGAGATAAGCATGCTGGTTGTACGGTTTAGGGTTTACGGCCCAGGTTTAGGGTTTAGGGTTTAGGGTTTAGAGCTTAGGGTTTCAGGGTCTCGGAGGGGCCATAGAAATTCGGGTTGCAGGTATAGCTTATACAGCTTTGGCCTTAGGGTCTTAGAATTCAGGGTTCACGATTTTGAGTTTTGGCCCTTGTGGGGGGGGGAGGGGGGGGGTAGTGTTTTGAGCTTAAGGGTTTGAGCTCCCGCAAAGCTCAAAACAGCAAGTAAACAAACTACACAGCCGAACACTTAGTGCACAGCCCGACTGGGAAACTGCGATTTATTGCATGGTATCCACATGATTACCAGTAACCAGGCAGTTACGGGTAACCAGGCGGTTACTGGTGGTAACTAGGCAGCGGTTCCAGTAACCAAGCGGTTAGGGGTGATAACCTGGTAACCATGCAGTTACCGGCAACCAGTCGTTACTGGTAACCAGGCAATAACCAGATAACCAGGCGGTTCCTGGTGACCATGGTTACAGTAACCAGCCGTTACTGGTGAGAACCAGGCAGTTACTGCTAACCAGGCCACTACGGTTGGTAAACAGGCAGTTACCAGGCAGTCACCAGGCAGTTACCAGTAACCAGGCTGTCACGGTGAGCAGATGGTCATTACTGGAGGTAACCAGCCAGGTACCGGTAACCATGCAGTAACAATAACCAGGTGGTTACCTGTGGTTGGCAGTTGGCAACCAGCCAGTTACCATTAAACAGCACTACGGTTGGTAAACAGGCGGTTACTAGGAAGTTACCAGGCAGTTACCAGGCAGTTACCAGGCAGTTACCAGGCAGTTACCAGGCAATTACCAGGCAGTTACCAGTAACCAGGCTGTCACGGTGAGCAGATGGTCATTACTGGAGGTAACCAGCCAGGTACCGGTAACCATGCACTAACAATAACCAGGTGGATACCTGTGGTTGGCAGTTGGCAACCAGCCAGTTACCATTAAACAAGCGGCTAGAGTGACCACATAGTTACTGGTGGTAACCAGCCGGTTACTGGTAACGATGCAGTAACAGTAACCAGGTGGGCATGTGTGGTTCACCAGCCAGCTACCAATAACCAGGCCTTTGCCGGTAACCAGGTCATTTCCAGTAACCAGGCCGTTATGGTAACCAGATGGTAACTACTAACTGGTAACTGTGTAACAAGGTGCGTACCGAGGCGCGTACCGAGGCGCGTACCGAGGCGCGTTCCGAGGCGCGTACCGAGGCGCGTACCAAGGCACGTAGCAAGGCGCGCAACGAGGCGCGTAACGAGGTGGCGATTTGGGTAACCAGGTTGGTTGTTCCTGATAACCAGGTGCTATCAGTAACCACGTGGTTACTCATATCCAGGCCGTCACCGGGACGCACACCCTTAATTTCAGTTGGGTCTGTTGGATTGACAAATATCCAACCACCACAATTTTTCCTTTGTGCATACAGGGATTGGCCCAATTTTTTAATGCAGCAGTGATAAGTTCTATATAATGGCTTCAACAACACAAAATTGAAATCATTCTTCTCCACTGCAACAGCTTTACCTGAGTTACCTCCACCCACGCAATAATCCCACCCCCGCTCTCACCTTGCATGGCCATCGGATTCCTTTCATCAACTGGCGACATTTTCAAGTTCTTTTTCCCTTCCCACCCCTTTCTCCCCTTACCCTCTGTGTCAAAACTACCGTTTCCCTCCCCTTCCCCCCTCCTACCCCCCCCTCCCCAAACACAATAAGCGCCGCTCCTGAGTGTATACAACCTATCTTTCTGCAGTAATACAGTCCGGATGAGGATGCATTGTGTTCAGCAGAACACAGTAGGTTGAACAACGAAACGAATACGATGAGAATTTAATATTTATCTGTCGACTAACTCGCCCCACCCCCCCCCCCCATCCCCCCCCAAACCACCACCCCCCCTTCCTTTCTTGTTACCCACCCCCCCACACAAATCCCCCGCTTTCTATCAAGACAATGCCAAACTAGAGCAAGCAGAAACAGAGGAAAAAAGATTATCTGTTGATTACTCCCTCCCCAATCAATGAAGAGGATTCGTTATTTATCTATATAAACAAACGCCACATATCCAATGAAAAAGATATTTCAAATTTGTAACTTTATTTAATTTGTTAGCTAGCCATTTGTTTATGCGTTGAACTAGAGTAAACAGGAAGAGGGTTCAGTATTCATATTCATCTATTCCATCTGACATGTCCATCGATTACCCCCTTATATCCAATCTATGGGTTACAAGTTAGAACAAATTTACAATCACTCCTAGCTAAGTTGGTAAGCCCATGAAAGTTGAAATACAGACTCAAGTTCGAATCCAGAAACTGTCAGATGAACGGAAGAAATTTCAAGAACACCATTCTGAATTAACTGGGGCTGGTCAGTTCACCGCTGATATTACAAGCCCATTGCACTTCAAAAAAAAAAAAAAAAAAAAAAAAAAGAAGAGGAGATGCAAAAGTCAAAAGAGGTCAAAAAAAGAAACAAAAAAAAAGGTCAAAAGAGGAGGTCAGCCTTGCGCTCCTGACCTTTTCCTATATCTTTTTTTCTTTCTTGTACTCATGCTTGCCGACGATAAGCAACCGGACTGACGCCCCCCACAATAAAAGGGGATTTGTGTGTTTCCAAAAAAAAAAAGAAAAGAAAAGAAAAGAAAAGAAAAGAAAGAGAGAGAGAGAATTAAAAAGAGGAGAGACAGAATTTGTCTGTTTGATACATGCATCTGAGCTCTTGGATTGGAACGACCAGTGAGTCCAAAAAAGCTGTTTCACCTTGTGACGCCATATCTCCGTGCCTCGTAGCTCACCGCAATCAATGCGCCTCCTAGCCATGGATTATACTGCTTGACAGCTGTCGGTCTCCCTCGCAGAAGCGGCTGTTTTCGCTGCTCCACTGAAAATTTCAACGAGAAATTCGAAAACACAAAAGGGACCATGCACCAAGACAAACAAGTGGGACAGAGGTGATTTTGCAATTTTTTTATTTTTTTTATTTTTTATTTTTAATAACAAAACAGGTCCTTATGGGCCAGGGTCCATATCCATTCTGCGATTGCAATCTGTTTGTTGTTGTTCTAACTTGTTCACAATGAGTTTTTTTTTCATGGTTATGCCGGACCCCAACACCGGACCAGTCCAGACGTCCGGCCTGACCTGTGTCTCGACAGACAGAACAGTTTGTCCGGTGATGAGCTAATAAGGGCCTTGCCATACGCATGCATCTTTCCACCAAAGGCGTCAAGATGCATCCATTGCCATGAGTACTAACCGCTCTTCGAGATATGGAACATGAACGACGGCAACGTGGACGACACTCTTCGTCTGAAGTAAGGAAATTAGCTTCTCTTTGTCAGCCCACCACCCACTGATCCGTGGGCCCCCCAAAAAAAAACTCTTCCCGACCTGAAGGGATGCCCTTTTTCTGAACACTGACCAAGTTTTCTTTGCCAGATCTTCAACCAAAGGACCATCCTACCCCTTCATCCCTTGCCCCCTTCAGGTCCCCCACAAGCGGTTAATGGGACCCCCACTTTCATCTCCTGGGTAACGCGTCCAGAAGGATTTTTTTTTTGAACTTTTTAACTTTTTTAGCATAACCCATGGTGATAACCAACTCCTCTAGCGAAGCCCCACTAGCCAAGAGAATTAAATTTATCAATCCAAAGATGGATTTTTTTTTAGTTTTTTTTTTTGTCGAAGGGCGCCGGCTCGGTGTGTGGGTGGGTTGGTTGGTTGTCAATGGACCGACTATCCGGATCATTGGACAACACACAGACTCCCCTCCAACCAACATTGGGCTCCCATTGGTCAAAACAGGTTTCACACCGTTGCAGGGCTTCAGGTTCGAACTCATGCTCTGTTCAGACAAGTCCTCTCCTCCTCACATCGCACATCGTTACACAATGTAAGCCCTTCTCCCAGAGTTCGAACTCGTGACAACATGAACTCTACCTCCTACGGTCATTATAGCTGTATTTGAGGAATCTTTCTGTCTAGATACAGCCATAATGACCGTACGTTGTATTCGGAGGAAGAAGGTAGCAGCGTACATACTACACAAGGCTTTCAGAGCAGGGCTTGGACTCTCTACCTGTCGAAAAACTCTCCTCCTCACAATGGCCAAAGTTGACTCTCCTATCATTCGGAGGAAGAAGGTAGCAGCGTACATACTACACAAGGCTTTCAGAGCAGGGCTTGGACTCTGTACCTGTCGAAAAACTCTCCTCCTCACAATGGCCAACGTTAACTCTCCTATCATTTGGAGGAAGAAGGTAGCAGCGTACATACTACACAAGGCTTTCAGAGCAGGGCTTGGACTCTGTACCTGACGAAAAACTCTCCTCCTCACAATGGCCAACGTTAACTCTCCTATCATTCGATAACATCGATACACCTTTTTTCTTTTCTCTTTTCTTTTGGCTATAGTTATGGGGTTATGGTTATGGTTATGCTTATAGTCATGGTTATGGTCATGGTTGTGGAAGCTGGTTATGGTAGCTGGTTACGGTAGCTGGTTATGGTGCGCCTGGTTATGGTAGCTGGTTATGGTAGCCGGTTATGAGTATGGTTATCATGACCTGTTATAATCATGGTTACCATGACCGGTTTCGGTTATGGTTATGATAACCGGTAATGGCTACAGTTATGGTTATGATAACCGGGTATGGTTATGGTTATGATAGTCGGGTATGGTTAAGGTTATGGTTATGGTTATGGTTATGGTTATGATAACCGGGTACGGCTACGGTTATGGTTATGGTTATGGTTATGGTTATGGTTATGGTTACGATAGCCGGTTATGGTTATGGTTATGATAACCGGGTATGGCTATGGTTATGGTAATGATAACCGGGTATGGCTATGGTTATGATAGCCGGGTATGGTTATGGTGATGGTTAAGTTTGTCATGAGCAGTTATGGTTATGGTTATGGCATCGAACAATGTGCCCTGTAGGGGTATCACGACGGGTTTGGTTATGGGGATCCGCTTTTGAGCTCCGAAGCACAGTTGCAGTGGTCAAGGGATCCAGCTGTTTGGCCTGAGAGAAAGCACAGACTTTCGATATCCAGTCATTAAGAAAGAAACAAAACAAAAACAAAAAAAAAGAGAAAAAAAAAAAAGAAAGAAACAAAACAAAAAACAAAAAAAAGAGAAAAAAAAAAGAAGGAAGAAAGTTCAAGAAACAAGACAATGTATCTTACTATCTTTGACCTGCCGGTTGAATAGGAACCGGACTGAAGGTCCCCAGAATGGATATGGAGCGAGGGCCGTAAGGACCTATTTAAAATATTTAAAAAAAAAAAAAAAAAAAGAAAGAAAGAAAGAAAGAAAGAAACCAGAACTGGTGCAGAAAGAAACCAGACCGGGTGCACCAATGGGCCTAGCTCAGTTGGTTCCTATGCATTTCTTAGGTCTTGCGGGCATGCCACGCCGTATTCCGGATTATCCAGACGCTTCTGCCGGATGGAATGCACTGAGTAGTTTTGGCTCTTATCTCTCTGTTGTAGGAATTTTAGTTTTTTTTGTGGTTGTTTATCTCACTTTAACCAGTGAAGTGCGCGCTCTGCAAGCGCCTTGGGCAGTTGAGCCAAATTCAACTACACTTGAATGGATGG